AATGAATTCAGTTAGATCAAATAACCTGAGTTTGAAATTAAAAGTTTAAACCATCAGGTTTAAAAGATATAGGGCTTAGACATGGACAATTTGAGTATGTTGCGAAGACTCAATTTTACTTCTTGAAAAATAAAGGTAAAAACAAGTGGTTTTAAATAAAAACAACAAATATGTACGGTTAGAGAGTTAAGAGCAAGGAAAAACACAATTTGAAAAAAATTGAAACTTTAAAGTTGACATATTCTTGAAAATTCAAGATTCATGTGCCGTAGCCCGCAAGTGAATATGATATTACAAGGTGGAATTATAAAATGGAACTGATTCTTCGCCTCAAACTCTAATTTTCCAATCCTTTCTCTAATTTTTTTCAACCTTATGTACTATACATTAAACATTTGATATTACAATTTAGACTATTTGATTTATCAGAACTCATAACTTAAACTATCAAAGGTCTACGAGTAATAAATCAGATATAAAGATTTAAATCAATTAATAGATCAAATAAAGATTTAAATCAATTAATAAATCAAACAAAGAAATAAAGAAATATTCAATGGTAAATAAAAAAAGGTTATAAAGGAACCGAGTCTTTGTCGCAAACACAAATTTTCAAATCCTTATATCTTTGTTTATACCTTATACCTCTTCAAGCTTAGACTATTTGATTTAAGAGATTTCATAATTTGAAATGTCTAAGGTCGACAACATTGGGTAGCTAAGAGACAGGGATTTAAAAAATCAGAGTTTGAGGCAATAACTCAATTTCTTTTGGAAAATAAAGTAATGCCTTTATTGCATCCAATTCTTGTTTAGTTCTTTACATATATAGCAAAATATTGCAAACACATTTTTTATATCTTTCGAAAAAAAAACAGATTTTTCTATTATAACTTAGTTAATTTGACAAAAAGTGTCTCAATGGTTCTGGCCTCAGAAATATCTTTGAGTTACTAATTTAAGAAAATTGCATATTTTTTGCTTTAGTCGAAAAAGTGGAGTTGGCAGAAGTAAAGGAAAACTGGGTTGGTCCAGTTCATCATCAAATATGGATTGTATCAAAATATTACGAAATATTAGGTAAAACTATGTTATACTACAGAAAGATTCCTAAAACCGTGAAAAAGAACTCAAGTTATGATTCTAAATAGTCCATTGAACAAGGGAGGGGTGGCTACTCTCAGGGTTTTGGAATTGATCCCAGGGTTTTGGAGTGCTCCCAGGGTTTTGGAATTGATCCCAGGGGTTGGGAGTGCTCCTAGGATTTTGGAGTTGCTCCCAGGGTTTGGGAGTAAAGTGTGAACATTTATCAAACCTTTTCTGGAAAGTCCTTTGAATCCTATAGTCTTGTTTTAGCTTTTGCATTATAACCATTTTTTATTTCAGTTTTTCAGAAAAAATCCAATGAAAAAAAATTGGAAATGAGATAATTTATATATAAATATGTTGAGATGTATTAGACCAGCGCAAATGAAACCTTCATTTATCTAGCTAGCTATATTTTTTCAATATTTACCAATAATGATTAATGTAAAAGCTAAAACAAATGTCATCAGTTTGGCTGATCAAAACAATATAATCGCCACAGGCTGCTTGGACTAAAACTTGCGATTTTTCCCCCTGCAAGTATCCGAACAAAGACAGTAAAAAAGCGGTAGCAGAGCCTTTTTTAAATTAAAATTTTCGATTATAAAGTACCCTTTCAGAAATGGTCGGGTAAAATTTAGCATTTTACTCCTAAACCCCAAAGGAGCAATTCCAAGACCCTGAAAGCAGCCACCCCTCCCTCATTGAACATAGAACAAGCAATTGTGAATTTCAAAATATCAAATTTATTCATGGATTAAATTTGATTTCTTATCGTCCCTTTCAATGTTTTAATTTTTTTCTCTCTTTTAGGATGTATGGCATAAGAGTATAGCATCTGTTTAATTTATTTTTCTATGATTTTTCGAATTTCATGTTTAAGTTGTATATTTATATTTATATTGTATATTTATTTAATATTTTCATATTGCCGAAATATATGTGGATTTCTTTACTAAACAACCTTTCTTTTCTTTCTGTTGTACAAAAATAAATTTTTCGTTACTTAATTTACTTTTTGTGGCGTGATGTTAGCAGGCCCATAGCGATTGGGGGGGGGGGGGGCGGGTATCTGATACTAAAAAAAGAAGGAAAAAATTTAAGGATGAGAACCAAAAGTGAAAAAAAGAAAGGAAAAAAAAGAAAAAGAGCGATTATCAAAACGTCGAATACAAAAGGTCGATGATACAAAAGGTCGTTGATACAAAAGGTCGTTGATACAAAAGGTCGACTGCTAAAAAAATTTGTACATTGAGCTCATATACATGCAAAGTTGGAAATGTGGCCGCAGCGCTTGGCCCCAGCCTGTTCTAGCCGCAGTGCTCGCACCCCCCCTAGCCTGTCTTAGCAGTAGCACTGGACCACATAGCCTATTCAAGCCGCAGCGCTTGGCCCATAAATTGGCTTAACCTAACCCTGATATAATGCTAAAAAAATCTCAGTCGAAAAACTCCATTTTTATGTGTTTGGACGTTTTGAAGTACATATTCGACGTTTTGTAATTTCGACATTTATAACAGTCGACTTTTTGTTATTTGATATTTTGATAATCCACGTTTTGTACCCGCTCATAAATAAAAATCTATTTGCTTACAAGTAATGTGGTACAAGTAATTTTTCTTCAAAAATAATCTATCTTTCAAAATATCTATCTAAAATTTAAGAAAGTGTGTTAAAAATAAATAAATAATTTAATAGATATATAAAATTTCATAGGTAGAGAAAAATCAGTTTCTTATATCTACATTTTAAAATCGTGTAGATATAGTATTTAAAAAGAGGATCTTGAAAATCTTCTCGGCTTTTAAAATATTCTTTTTAACTTATGTACTTGTTTACTTTTTGTGTGGTTATACAATGTACTTTTTGTGTGGTTATACGTTTTGTAAACTAATGTACTTGTTTACTTTTTGTGTGGTTATACGTTTTTTAAACTAATATACTTGTTTACTTTTTGTGTGGTTATACGTTTTTTTTTAACTTACAACGTTGTTTACTTTTTGTGTGGTTATACAATGTACTTTTTGTGTGGTTATACGTTTTTTAAACTAATGTACTTGTTTACTTTTTGTGTGGCTATACGTTTTTTTTAACTGATGTACTCGTTTATTTTTTGTTATACGTTTATTAACTTAAGTACTCGTTTACTTTGTTATACGTTTATTAACTATTGTACTTGTTTAATTTTTGTGTGGTTATACGTTTTATTAACTAATGTACTTTTTGTGTGGTTATACGTTTTTTAAACTACTTTACTTGTTTACTTTTTGTGTGGTTATACGTTTTATTAACTGATGTACTTCTTTACTTTTTGTGTGGTTATACGTTTTTTTAAACTAATGTACTTGTTCAATTTTTTGTGGGTTTGTATTGATATTTTGTTGATATCATTAGTGTTGTAAATATTTTTCTTTTTTTGTCGATTTAATATATATCCAGTTCGTTTCTAAATAATTCATTTTTTCAATTACTGTAATTACTGACAATTCTTTGCTGTATTGAGAGCATGAAATTCACTGAAAAACATTTTGGTACGTTTTATTCAACTATCTCAGACTCAATGCATGAAATTTGGTAATGGGACATTTTGTAGAACGACATTTCTTAGACAGGACATTTCAAAGATAGGACATTTCATATGAAGACATTTTATAGACATTCCATAAACTGAGATTATTTTACATAGATTATGAAGGGTGATTAAAAAAGGGTAAATACCGAAATCTTGCATACAATAAAGTATTTTATTTTGGTAAACTCATTTTTAACAAAAATGTATGAAATTGTTGATTTTTTTTATAGGCAATTTGATACTCTTTAAAAAAATCCACAAAACTATATTTTATTTAAAATTAAATGAATAGAAAAACAGGAGTGCGGGAATGTATTATTTCTATCACACCTTAAAATCTTAAACAGATCGCATTAGTAGTTTCAGAGAAAATGCGCGAAATCAAATTCAGAAAATCTGCAATTCTTTTTTAGAAAAAAATCATTTTTAAGATTTTATTCTTTTCAAATCTTTTTATAATATGAATTTTTGAGAAAGGTAAAAATGTCTTTATCATATTAATAGAAAAATACGCATAAAAGAGTGTATCATTAAAATATACAGAGCTGAAAACTTTAGAATGGTGGATATTGAGATTAATGCTTGATCCTTTCTTTTTCTTAATATCGACACTAACCTAATCTTGTTCTTGTATCCTGAAAAGTGTGTTTGAGATTAATATTCAGAAACGGGAGGGACTCTCTAATTTAATATTATATACAGAAACAGGACGAACTCTCTAAATTTAAAATTTTTCTCTACTGTATCAAAGAATGAGAACGGTTTAAGAAGAAAATCAAAAGTGTGCCCATTGGATACTCAGATTAAGTAATCGGGATTTAGGATATTTCATTCTTAAGTTTTCAGCTCTGATTTCTTAATTCAAGTTTGAGCATTTTCTCCTAAACTACTTATCTTAATCTATCTTCATATATTCCCGCACTTTTGTTTTTATACTAACATTTTAAGTAAAAAATAGTATTGCAGTTTTTTTAAGTCTATTAGATTGCCTATCAAAAAATAAAATTCAAAAATTCATACATTTTTGTTAAAAATGAGATTACACAAAAACATGCTTTATTATATGCAAAATTGCAAGTTTACAAGTAATTAAAGAGAAGCTTTTTTTAATGACAGTTTTTGTTTCTCTATGTTTCCATGTTTTTGTGTATGAATGCTGTTTAAAAGCTTGATATAATTCAAAATTTAAATCGAAAGTCGTGTTCATTATATTGATATAATTGCCTCCCACCGTATATAAAATGTCTTTCTATGAAATATCCCAACACCAGAACTCACTGAAAAACAGTAAAAATCTTATGCATTTTTGTACATTTTATGCAACTACAATAATAAAATTCGCTTTCCATTATATATATATTTCACCAGATAAATAGAACAATAACAGTTCTGAACGAAACAATAACAAAGCTGTTAACTGTAAAATCTTTAGCTGAAAAGAATTCAATTCTACTGCAAATGCTGGGTTATAATACAAGGCAAATTACTTTTATTTTTATTTTATAATAATCACCCCCCCCCCTTGGTTAGGTTTTTTCAATGTAAATAATTTGCAAAAACATTTAAAGTTTCAATTAAAACAGTTTTTGGTCCTTAGTGCTACATTAAGACTGAGGTAATATGACTAAAAAAGTGAATATGGGACCGGTTTGAGGAGGGGGGGGGGTAGTACAAGTTGCACCCCTAGTGACAAATATTATACATTGCTTTAGAGCAAAAAGTCAGACTTTTTTAAAAGCAATATTCTCTAACAAAAAAAGGTGAGATCATGAATATTATGTTTAAAAAAATAATACTTTCAATAATAAATATCAAATAAATGTAAAAGTAATGTCGATTGTATAGGTGTGAAATTTCATTGGTTAATATCAATATAAATATGCTTCTAAGAAAACAGTAATGTACTTAGTACATAATCAATCCCCAAACAGTAATGTACTTAGTACATAATCTTCATAACTCTGGTTTAATCATCATTCATCGTCATTTAATAATTAACAATTTTAAATGATTTTTTATCTTAAAATATTAAAAGCCTTTTAACAAGAACTTAAAGTTCTTTTTTAAAGTTTGTCAGTTAAGCTATTTGATGACATTTATAGATGTTTTTAAGAAAAATAATTTTGGGAACAAATAACATTTATATGCATTTCTTATTCTTAGTAATAAACGTATAACTTCAGATTCATTGGTCTTTATCAATTTAATGCAGCATGGACTTTGCTTGGTAAAAGTCATAAAAAAATTCAATCAAATTCATTTTTAAAAATTTAATTGAGTGAGTGCGATAATTTTGACCCTCAGAACGTATCAAAATTGAATGTGTACTTTTTTCTCCGTTGTGCTTAGTACTTTTTGGCCGCAATAGTTAATTACAAATACGAATTATGCTTAGAGTTGAATAATGAGTTTGCTAATTCTTTTTTGTCGTTTTTAAGTTCAGGGTTGCATTTTTACATTCTACATTCCTTCACCAACTTTCACCCTTGTCATTGACTCCTTTCTGAATTGGTAATCTATCGGAGCCTCGAAAACAAGAACGATGGTTGATCCAAAATTGAAGAACCCCATTTCCTCGCCCTTTTCAATACGAATACCATCGTTCTCGTAGATTTTTTCAGAGTACTCACTCCCTCGCAGGTTTGTCATCAACTCATTGTCAAAGTTCATCACAATAGAACCAACATTTGTGGCTCCAACAGCGGTCATAGAAAAGAATCCATGTTGCCACTCGCCAAACAGAGCCACGCGCTCATTTGTGTGAAAGAGTCCCGGCATTTTGCGCACAACAGATGGGGACACACTGTACAGTTTTCCTGGGAAATGTCGTCGTTTGTGCACGGTCCAGGTTGTAGGGGAATGAAATCTATGGTAATCTGAAGGGCTTAGATAGATAACTGCTTGAAACAGTGCTGTCCGACCTAAAATTGTAAAATAAGTTGCAAAACTGTTATAAGAAAACAATGGAATGCAAATGTGTATAAAACATGCAACTTACCAGGATAATGTAAAAGTTGGTAAACTTCTGGAGATTGAGTTAAAATTTGATCCTCAAGCAGATAAACTGAATCTAAAGTATGCAGATGTAAAACTTTGAATACATTTTAGAGCCATTTTAAAAAAGTCTTTAAAAATGATTACCTGAATCCCAAATCTGTGTTCTTGATAAAATTGAATTAATTGGTTCTTTGCTAGCATCATCATCTAGCTCATACAAAGGGCCAAAGAATTGTTTCAAGCAGTATCTAAAAAATTGGACAATAATGGTCTCCTACTTATCATATTATTTTCATATGATTCCTTTAATCTGCTCCAAGTATAACCTACCTTATCCCTTTAATATGCTCCTAGTATAACCTACCTGGTCCCTTTAATCTGTTCCAAGTATGACCTACCTTATCCCTTTAATCTGCTCCTAGTATAACCTACCTAATCGCTTTAATCTGCTCCAAGTATAACCTACCTTATCCCTTTAATCTGCTCCTAGTATATATCCTACCTGATCCCTTTAATCTGCTCCAAGTATAACCTACCTAATCCCTTTAATCTGCTCCAAGTATAACCTACCTGGTCCCTTTAATCTGCTCCTAGTATAACCTACCTTATCCCTTTAATCTGCTCCAAGTATAACCTACATGATCCCTTTAATCTGCTCCAAGTATAACCTACCTTATCCCTTTAATCTGCTACAAGTATAACCTACCTGATCCCTTTAATCTGCTCCAAGTATAACCTACATGATCCCTTTAATCTGCTCCAGTATAACCTACCTAATCCCTTTAATCTGCTCCAAGTATAACCTACCTGGTCCCTTTAATCTGCTCAAAGTATATAACCTACCTGATCCCTTTAATCTACTCCAAGTATAACCTACCTTATCCCTTTAATCTGCTTCAAGTATAACCTACCTAATCCCTTTAATCTGCTCCAAGTATAACCTACCTGATCCCTTTAATCTGCTCCAAGTATGAACCCTGGACAAGACCAATGTATGTGAGTGAACCATCTGCTGGACTAACTAAAATAATGCACATTAATCTGACTAGAAGTTTAGAAATTAGTAGAAGTAGAAGGGGATGATTCATCAGTGTACCGTCCCATGTGTCTTCTCTGTAGTATGCCCGTATGCTGTACAAAAGTTACTCTAATTGATGAAAAGGTCGTCTTTGCACTTCAAATAAACCATAGTTTACGGTGAAACTATAATTAATATTAAAAAACTAATACTCAGAACTATAATGAACTTATGATACCATCAAACTGAATTTTCCAAATTTTAGCAGAGTTTCTGAATAATTTGATAAATGAAAAATGGAGAAAAAAATGGAGAAAAACCTTGTAATGATTGAAGCTTTTCAAGTGATTACAATTACAGATATAAATCTTAAGGATTTTAGAGATCAATCATGTCTTGCTCTAAGTCCCCGTACTTTGTTTCATAAACCCCTTTAATGTTCTCTCTCTATATATATCTCAGAGTATGAATGAATTGGATTTATCAGCTTTTCAGTTTATTGTTCTAAATACATCTGCTTAAGGTTATTCTTGTTGAATCAGCTCTCTATGGTATTTAAGAAACTGTGCTTCGGGTGTTCCAGTTCGGTGTCTGTCTGAGCAGCTTCCTTAACCTCAATATCTCATTCAGCTGCTCCAGTTCCGTATCTATCTAAACAGCTACTCCAACTCGATATCTCGTTTAGCTGCTCCAGTTCAGTATCTCTTACACTGCAATCTTAGCTGGTACTCTAGCTGCTTCCAGAATCTCCGCTACTTTAGCTACTCTTACAATATGGGATGCTTCCACTACATTCCCAGCTGCTTCCTTCAGTACCAGAGCTGCTCCTAAATTCTCTGTTATGTTAGCTGTTCATTACCAGAGCTGCTCCTAGAGTCTCTGCTATGTTAGCTGTTTATTACCGCTGCTCCTAGTTTCTCTGCTATGTTAGCTGTGCATTACCGGAGCTGCTCCTAGAGTATCCTCTTTGTTAGCTCTGCATTACCGGAGCTGCTCTTAGAGTCTCTGCTACTTTAGCTGCTCCTACAATCCGAGATGCTTCTACATTCTCAGCTGCTTCCTTACTAAACGGAGCTGCTCCTGAAGTCCCTGCTACGTTAACTGTTCTTCCAATCTTAGATGCTCTTACTGTGTTCTCAGCTGCTTCCTGTACTCAGAACAGGTCTGTGAGGAGCTGCTCTACAGTGAGCAGCGTCTCCGTGCTCAGAATCCACTAGAGAGTACAGAGCAGCCTATAATGTATTGGCGGGGTAATCTAGTTCTCCTCTGTACGAACACTTTATCTGCTCAAAGTCTCCAGTAGCTCTGTTCATAGAACTAGCTGGAGAATATATCTTGGTCTTTGGTTGGACTGGCTGAAGTGATCTGTAGTTGGACTTATTTGCCCTGGATATCCTAGTTCTCTTGTATGTCCTGGAAGTCCTAGTTCTCCTATGTGTCCTGGAAGTCTTAGTTCTCCTGGGTATCCTGCAGCTATTTCTACAACAGTTATGTGAAGTTGTCTGTAAAGATCATTGTCTCTTGTCACGAGATTATCTTATTCTTCTATTATGGGTATGTGGAGAGCTATCTGTAAAGAGCAGCATCTCCAGGTTTAGCTTCTGCTCTTGGAGTCATAGGTCTTGACTGAATTGTCTAGCTGTTCCAGATTTATGAAGGGCTGTCTGTAAAGATCAGCGCCTCCTGTCCCAAAATTATCTTGGTTGCTTTTACAAAAGATATGCGAAGAGCTGTCTGTATCAAGATCGATCATCTTGTTCTTCTATAATGGATATTTGTAGGGATGTCTGGAAAGAGCAGTGTCTCAAATATATAGTTTAGCTTCTGCTCCAGGAGTTATAAGTCTGACTAGATTTTCTAGCTGCTCCAGATATGTAAAGATAAGCGTCTCTAATATAAGGACGAGGCCGCATCTGATATCTTGGGTATCCTAGTTCTCCTGTATTTGCACATCTTGGTTGTTCAATAGATCCAGTGTTTCTATTCATAGAACCATCTGGAGAAGTTGCCCTTACTTGTAGTTGAACTAGCCGAACTGTAGTTGGTCTGTTTGCCCCGGACATGTTGGTTGCTCTATATCTCCAGTAGCCCTGTTTATAGGACCAGCTTGAGAATATAGAGTTTCATCTGGTACATCTTGGTCCATGGTAGGACAAGCTGAAACTGTTACAATCGGTGGGTAGTCCCGACTTGCCGGTACGAGTTCAATCGGTTCAGTTCCAGAAACTGCAGGAGATGAATCTCTTGAGGATACTGATGAATCCGATGATACACATTCGAGTATAAGTAAGGATGGTAGAAGTTGCTGATGGCCTCCTGCGTTCCCTGGCAGGCATGTTGCAGGTTCATCTATCAGCTATCTGTTAACTGTCTGTTAGCTGTATGTTGTGCCAGTCCCCCAGCCTTCATAAGTTCATATGCAAACGGGAAATTACGTCTGTATTCTAGAAAGATCTGGGGTGCACTGTCCAATCTTCTCCTTTGACTCAGCAAAGAGAGTAAGGGCGGGGGGAGGGGGGGGTTTATTATGAGTAACCAATGCTTTAAATATTACAACCTCTTACTTTTAAACTTTATGAAATGATAAAATTATTCATTAATTCATGAATAAAGGAATTAAGTCTTTGCCACAAATTCTAATATTCTGATTCCTATATTTTTGCAACCTGATAATGTAAACCTTTGTTATTTCAAACTGAGATAATTTGATCTAACAGAATTTATAGTTTGAAATATCCAAGGTTTACAATATTAGGTTACTGAGATATTGGGATTAGAAAATCCTTTATAGAACTAAAAATCTATAAAAAAAATTACCTATTGAGCTTACAGGACAAACTGGCCTCAATCCAGGTTTTAGTTTTCGCCTGAAGAAAACTTTTTTAATTTTTTCATATATCAATGATCAAGAAAAAAAATAATGTGGAAGAAAACGTTGTTTTATTAGCTTAAAAAGTTTTCAATTATGTTAATGCACAAGTTGGTTTTGTGGAGAAACCACAATAACTGGATCGGAAAAGGCGTTTAAGGCCCCGTTGTAAATCAGAAATGTCACTTAATGTCACTTGAAATTACGTTTACAATCCCTTTAATGAGAATTTAGGAATATTTATTAAATATTAAAGTTGATGGAACCCAATGAATAAATTATTAAAAAGTACAACAATTTTTTCTTTTTTTGATAAATTTTCCTCGTACTGAAAACCGGTTTGACAGTTTCCGTACAAATTTATTTATTTAAAAACACTTTAGGCATAGGTTTAATAGAAAACCCCATTTTAAAAAAAATCAAAGATGATAAGATTATAAAGAAAAATACTTTAAAAAGTTTTTTTTTTTCAAACTTTTATCTTCTGAGAGAACTCTGATGGAAACAATACATTTTCAAGTTTTTCTCCAAAACATTTCAAGTAATAGAATTTAACACGTTTAATAAAAACCCTATTTTTTACCTAAAAAACTGGCTAATGGTTCTGTATTGAGAAAGACAATCAAACTCGGCCTCCGTCCTGGAAAAAAACAGTTTTAAAAAAACACACTTTAAACTTTATACTTTAAAACATTCACATGTCCGATTCACAACGGTACCATTAAAAACTTTATCTGAACAAATAAGATTTAGATATACATATCTTTATTTTTCAAAACTGTTCATTTTCATTCAGTGGGGTTTCTGCAAAAAAGAAAAAAATATGAGGATTAAAGCCAGATATATTATGTTTTTAAAGGTATTGCAGTCAATAGGGCATGCCCTTCTTTGAATGGAGGGTTACACAAACTTACAAAAACATTCCCAACATGCATTCGTATCTCTATATAAAGGGATATTAACGTTTTTATTTTTTTTAAACGATCGTTTCGTTATGAAAACGACGACGAAAAATCGAAAACAAAACGGTCGTTTTTAAAAACGATCGTTTTTTTTATAAATGGTCGTTTTTAAAACAATCATTTTGAAAACCGATCGTTTTTCAAATAGTCGTTTCGTTAACGATCGTTAACGACGACCCTTCGTTAACGATCGAATTAAAGAAGAGAGGAAACTGACCTGAAGGGCATCTGTACTTATCAAAGAGTAGTTTTTAAGAAAATATCAAGAAGTTTTAGATCCTACACAACTGTTTAACTTCATGTAAGACGACATTTAATAAAGTTGCATGTAATTTTTTTTTAAAACGACAGTTTTTATTAAATTCGTCGTTTCGTTAACGATCGTTAGCATAATTGTCAATAATTTTTTGTTAAAAAAACAATCGCTCGCAAAACGTTTTCATAAAAACGATCGTTATTCGTTTTCTAAAAGTTCAAAACGAGTGGGTTGCTTTTAAAAAACGATCTTTTATTCCGAAAACGAAACGATTGTTTCTGAAAACGATTGAAAAACTAAGCATAAAACGATTAACAATATATCTATCCGAATTTTGCTTCCTAAATACTTCTTTAAATTTAAGTCAGTAGTTCAACAACCAATAAATTACAGAAGGATCTTTTCATAGAATTTTGAATCATACAATTTTAACTAGTAGAAAATTTAAAGAAAATTGTCTTTTTCGCATATATAAATCAGAAACGTTACAAAGGAGTTTGCAGTTTGTAATAGTCCATAGATGTGCGCTGAAAATTTTTTAAGGAAACAACTTTATACTCAAAAGTAAATATAAAGGAACTGAGTTTTTGCCACAAACTCAAAAAGTCTAAAACCTATATTTCTCCTTTCTAAAGATATTAATCTTTGATATTTCAAACTATTATTATTTGATCATAACATAATTCATAGTTTGAAATATCAATGATCTACAGCATTGGGTTCCAAAGATATAGTGATTAGAAAATAAAAGTTTGTGGCAAAACCTCAATTCCTTTAATCATGTTCATATTTTGTTAAGTTGTGATGTGTAAACATAAAAGAAATAGAAGTAAAAAACAAATATAATTATGTTTACATTATATCAAAATACACTCATTAAAGGCTGTAAAAGCATGAAAGGTTTTACTTAGCAACATGTTGACATTGATCATTAATAAAATATTATAATAGAACTTTTCATAACAATAATAATGATAATAATTAATTATATAATAAAACTGAAGTACTTAAATAACAATGTTACCAATTGGAGACAATGATAATGTTAGTACTAAAACTATATGGACTGTATTTCCACCAACAATAACTGAAGAAGTTCTGTTTTATGGAAATACCAAATGGAAAATGGAAAATATGTAAATTTTGTAATTTTTTTAGCTTTTTCACCAAGTGTTACATTATGTAACTTACATTTTATTTAAATGTTTAATAATGAAAAATGTTTACATGTTTTAGTAATCGTTTTTATCTATCTATCTATCTATCTATCGGTGTTAGGTACTTTTCCAAAGGCATTTTTACAAGGGCGACTTCCCAAATGACAATTTCCCAATTGGCAATTTCCCAAATTTGAAATTTCCCAAGTGGCTAGAATGGGCATGGGGGCCGAGCGCCGCGGCTAGAACAGGCTGAGAGCCGAGCGCTGCGGCTATAGACACTTGAGAAGTTGCCGCTTGGGAAATTGCACATTTGGGAAGTTGCCACTTGGGAAATTACACTTGGGAACTTGCCACTTGGGAAAATACCTTTGGGAAAGTACCTAAAATCGCATAAATTAATATAAAATTCTTTTAAAATGCAATGTGTTTATAAAGTTGTTGCGGTTAAAATAAGTAGTATAGTGGATAATACATATAATAATACTCCAACAAAATTTCCCAACTACACACAATTATTTTTATTCGTTTTAACAATACTATTACCATTAATCAGTCCTTTCACAACCTTGTTTGGTGTTTAGACAATGTATTATAGTTATTGTTATATTTAATACTTTTGTTGTTATAGTTTCGTTTATTAATATTTCTTAAAATAAACTTTCCGCTTTCCCAAATTCAATAGTTCATTATATTTACAAAACCTTGTCGACCTAAATCTGAAATCTTGATAAACCCTAAAATTTATGTCAACAGCAAAATATTTTTTTTACCTGTCACAGCGCATGAGGGTTGCAAAAAGCCAGACTGAAATGAATTTAAATGGCGTCGGTAATTCAGTATCCGCTGCTCGACCCCAAACACGTGACAGCTGATTCAAGGGCAGAACCTAGAGTAATGTCGTCTTAATCATATTATGAAAAGAACGCTGCATCTGGCGCTAAACGCCATTTGAAAGGGGCTGTAGAAAAATCTTTAAAAAATTGTTTAATTCTGTTATATTCCTAAATTTCCCTCTCACTAGAATTTCCCTATAAGGGTCTGGTTCATTTCGTGCACTGTCTTGTTTTGCCTGGTACAACTGTTCAGCTCGCTCTAGATGTAGATGTAACAGTGTTACAGCATAATAAACAGAGAAATAAAAAATTTTATAATTTCACCTAAAATAAGGACATATCATTATTAATCCATGATCATAACGGTTTCAAGGCTATACCGTTCTGAAAGAACATGCCACTACTCCATGGGTCGGTGTCATGCATGGAGCGGACTCTTGCATGAGGCGGACTCGACCCATAAAGTTTAAACCATTTTAACAGTACAATGTTAAAATCAATGTTAAAACATTGAAAATTATTAGTGGACATAAATTTTAAATACGCATTTAGTTCTTAAATGTATTTTAACGGGGGTAAGCCAAAAAAGGTTAGTTTCTATTGAATGTCGTCTTCCTTTCAAATCATCAAACAATAAATATTATCTTTAATATTTAATTTTTTTAATAATTAATATTTAATGAGGAAGATGTCGTCGTTTTTATATCTTAAACAGTCTGTTATTTTCCTACATTATCTCTACACCATTAGTAATAAAGAATTAAAAAAATATATATTTACAGCTTGAAAAACAAGGACATTAATCCATGATCATATAAAGGTTTAAAGGCTACCAGAGCTGAAAACTTTAGAATGGTGGATATCGGGATTAATGCTTGATCCACTCTTTTTGATAATCTCAAGATTAACATAATCTTGCAAGATTATCTTAAAAGTGTATGAAAAACGATAAAATTCATATTAATATTTAATCATCAGAGAAACTGTAGCAGCCAATCAGAGAAAAGCGGGCAACCAATGAGAGAACAGAAATATTCTCATTGGAGAAAACAATTTACGGATATCCAAGGAGAGAGAAAAAGAGTGGATTAGGACTAAAATGAAAAGTTTCCACAGTGGATATTCGGATCAAGAAGTCAGGATTAAAGTTTATCCATTCTAAAGTTTTCAGCTCAGTATACACTTAAAATTACGTCTGGAGTCGCATCAAACAAATATTCCTGATATGTTGAAAATTACCTTGTAGGTTCGCATCCTCAATGAGAGTGTTTGATAACACTGATCCTGGAAACCTAAACATAATGAAATAAAAAACTGTAGATTTATTTTCAGGCAAAATAATGTGTTTAAAACAATGTCTGTAGCGATAAACAACGAAACTGAGTTCTTGCCATAAACTAGAATTTTTTAATACCCATATCTTTAAACCCTGACAGTGTAATCTTTTTTCCAACTTCGTTAGTTGATTTAACTAAATTCAAAATTTAGAAATATCAAAGGTCTACAACATCTGGCTGCTAAGATATAAGGATTAGAAAATTAAAGTTTGTAGCAAGAACTCTTGGTTTCATTTAATAATAATCTTGGTCTTTAAATAATTGTTTCCATCAAAAACATTAGTACGTACAGTGCAGTTGTTGTTATCAAGAAAAATATAAAACCGCACCTAAATCATCTGGATGTACTTTTGTCTGTCTCCTGAATAAGCTGGTCAACCCAATTCTGAAATATAAAACTTGATTGCTTTAATGCTAATAAATTTCGGTATGCAGTGGGACCAATTATATTTTGTGGAATAGGAAGACGACTGTTATGATTAGCAATCAGCAAACGAACAAAAAAACATAACATTTTTGCAGTGTAAACTAATGGACAGGCCTTTTTCACTTAATAAATTGATTTTCAAGCTAATTGTAAATTCAAGCTTTCTTACAGCATCAATTCAAATACAATAAGGTTGCTATTATGTTGTTTTCCTATTGCAAGGTATTATGGGCCTCATTGTATTACTGATTTCTAAATTATTTTTATTGATTGAAAAAAAATTCTGGACCTGTCAGTGTAATGGGCTGGAGGGTCCATCCAACCATGCTTGTTTAGTAAACATAGCAGTACAGATAACACAGATCCACATACACATGCCTGTACAGTACAGTATAATATTATTGTTAAGTAAACATAGCAGTACAGATAATTCAGATCCACACACACATCCCTGTACATAACAGTACAGATAACACAGATCCACACACACATCCCTGTACAGTACGGTACAATACTATTGTTTAGTAAACATAGCAGTACATACAATACAGATCCATTCACATATGCCTGGACAGCACAGTACAATAGTACATTGTTTAGTGAACATAGCAGTACAAATGGTACAGGACCACATACACATCCCTTAACAGTACATTACAACATTATTGTTTAGTAAACATATAGCATGAGTTGTAGAGTAAAGATGGGATAGGTACGCATACACATGCCTACAGGCAGTACTGTACAATATTTTTTGATCAGTGAACACCACCGAGAGGATAAAGTGATTGTTTACATTTTACTCTGACGTATTAGGACAGTAAAGGAACTATTTAAACACAACAACGCATGCAGTGTTTGCCCAGGCCCGACACTACAGTTCTTGTTATGGTTTCCAATAAAAATAGTCCCTGAACAGTCCTAATATGTAAAGGTAAAATTTGACAAACGCAAAATAATTTGAACAATTTTTTGTTAAAAGTTTTACAATTCCAAATACTATTATACAAGTTTCAACAAAGAAATTTTGAATTATTTTTAGCAGAATCAGCTTCCATTTCATTTCAAGTTTTGAATAGAACGTAATCTGAGACAGATTCACTTCAGAATAGAATTCAAGATTTCTTTTGCTTTAAAATCAAGATAAAAGTTTCTTTTTAGATCTTCCTTGAAGAGCTATTATATATTCTACCTGTATATCTGTGTGAGGGGAGAGAATGGTTAAAAATCCAGTGAAAAGGATGGGAAGAGAGAGAAGAGTAAAATTCAACTCCAAGTTGACAACCTGAATACAAAATAATTAATATGAGGATTGCAAGAATCTATGTTCTTGGTACCGTACCTCTGGGATCCCCCAAGAATGTGTGCAACAAATACTGGTTTGTGTATATATCTCCTAATTTTTGTAGATTTTGGATTATTATATTCAATTGAGTTTTGATTACTCCCTGTTCCTTTTCTTTTTAGTCCTGCACTCTACAGTTTATTCCGTTTAACTCCGGTAAACTGGAGTGTATTCACCGGTGTATTTCGTTTAACTCCGGTATACTCCGTTATACTGGAATTTATTCTCCGTTGTATTCCATTTAACTCAGATATACTCCGTTACACTGGAGTTTATTCTCCGTTTTATTTCGTTTAACTCAGATATACTCCGTTATACTGAAGTTTATTCTCCGTTGTATTTCGTTTAACTCCGGTATACTCAGTTATGCTGGAGTTTAATCTCCTTTGCATTCCATTTAACTCCGGTATACTCCGGTAAACTGGATTGTATTCTCCGTTGTATTCCATTTAACTCAGATATATTCCGTTATTCTGGGGTTTATTCTCCGTTGTATTTTGTTTAACTCCGTTTAACTCCGTTATACTGGGGTTTATTCTCCGTTGTATTTCGTTTAACTCCGGTATACTCCGTTACACTGGAGTTTATTCTCCTTTGTGTTCCGTTTTACTCCGTTATACTGGAGTTTATTCTCCTTTGTATTTCGTTTAACTCCGGTATACTCCGTTATAATGGAGTTTATTCTCCGTTGTATTCCATTTAACTCAGATATACTCCGTTACACTGGAGTTTATTCTCTGTTTTATTTCGTTTAACTCCGGTATAATCCGTTATACTGGAGTTTATTCTCCTATGTATTCCGTGTTACTCCGGTATACTCCGTTATACTGGAGTTTATTCTCATATGTATTCCGTTTTACTCCGGTATACTCCGTTACACTGGAGTTTATTCTCCTTTGTATTACGTTTTACTCCGGTATACTCCGGTAAACTGGAGTTTATTCTCCTTTGTATTCCGTTTAACTCCGGTATACTCCGTTATACTGGATATTCTCTGGTAGAAAGTAGTCCGCGCGGTATGTTTAAAATGACGAAAGGCCCGTGCAGACTCTGCAGACTAAGGCACTCAAATAATTTTTTTTAGAAAAATTACTTCTTTCCCGCATACCTGTATTTTTTTTTAAAAGATATTTTAAACTTTTTCAAAAAAATTTAATTTGTTTTAAGTCTAAATTTTTCTAATTTTAAACGTTCTTTAATCAGATAACATACTTTAACATAGAACTTTAAAGCTTTATAAAAACCAATTTAATGTTAAAATAATCATCCGCTCATGAGGCACATTTATTATATGACGTATATAAAGCAGCAGAAAATGTTAAGACTAATTCTTAAATGTACATATAATTTTACAGAGTTAATTAACTTACAGTTTTATTATTCTGAATCTGGATTGAACTGGATTAGACGTATTCGGTCCTTGGGGTATATTAAATTAGCCTGAATAATGCAGTATTGACGTACATTAGTCAAGGTATATAGAGTGTCCCAATAACATGGGCCTTTCGGGAAGACATTTAATCGTCTTTTATTTCCGCAGAAATTGTTGCGAACACAACTAGTGTGCTATTAAACTTAAAACATTAAGTCCTATTATCGGGATTTCCAAAACACAGCTTATATTTTTCAAAAAATTATCAAGATGTCATGCAGAGCGTTCAAGATTAAAAATGTCCACACACAAAAAAAAATATTTTTTTTTTGTCGTTACAATTAGGGTTTCTCCTAATTCATATGTTTATTGGGACACCCATAATATATATACCAATATCCTACCAAAGAACGTTAAATTAAGGGGGGGGGGAGGTGCTGTGTTATACTGTTCTTCTACTGTACAAGTACACCTACTTTGTAATTGCACACTTGGATTATCTTAACGAATTCTTTACAGAATTGATGTATCCACATTTGAAGAAAAACAAGTTAATTATATTAGTTATAGATTATCAACAGAGAGAGAAGGCCTGTTCTACGCCGACTACGCGTAACTCCTTTTGGAATCTGCCTCAGGGTTATTGTGAACGAAAAACACATAAATCTTGAAAAGACGACATCTAGTGTCCTACCTGTTATTTTAATTAATCTATGATATATTCATAAATAAAATAAACAGAAAATTTGGTTCTAAAGATATTTATAAAATGTATCTTAATCAACCATTAAAAAATATTCTGTCCATAACATGAACTTGTCTATGACAAACTAGTCTATGACATAAACTAGTCTATGACATAAACTAGTCTATGAAATAAACTAGTCCATGACATAAACTAGTCTATTACATGAACTAGTATTTTTTTCTGCAATAAAAAAATTAACAACAAAAAAACCTATTTATTTTGGTAATAAGAACCTGATACTTAGTGGTCGGGCTAACGTAACACAACTTACAAGTTACATGAACTCCTACCCAGAGCTAGTTTTACATAAATGCATATTTAAGATTAAATTTCGACCCTTTGCTTTATTAAAGGGATTGTAAGCATCATTTTAAATGACCATACAAAGATGCCTATGCCGGATTCAAAAATCTATGTCATAATTTTAGACTGATCATTTTCAGTTGAAATTTCTGTGGAAAAGTGACTCGCGCATTTTACAATAGGAACAGATACAGGAATCAAAGAAGAATTAAACATTTTGGAATATAGAAGAACAACAATATCATCCAAATTATTGATCGGATAAAGGTTTCAAGGGTACTGTTGTGAATCCTCAATGCATGAAGGGTCATTTGAAATTAAACTTACATAATGGAATTTATGAAGTGTTTTTTCTAGGTTACTTGCAACAACTGTGAACTTGTTCCTTCATTCCATGATTATCTAGTATTTCATTTATATTATATACTAGCTTGGGAACACAGCGCTGCCAAGGTTACTAAAGTTACTCCCGCCGTTTACCCGCTGCACATTAACGATTTTACCGGGAAACTAAATTTTCGCTATTAAAGTCGACAAACTCAACTTAGAATCTCAAAACCAAGCTAAGAACATTCCCGTGGGTCTTTCGAGTTCCCCAATCAAAATATTTGAGGCAAATCGGTCAAGGGGTTGCCGAGTTATGATCAGACAGACAAACAGAGATTACAACTTAATATATATGCCCGGGAGGAAACAAAGTTCACTCTTCAGATCTTTATATCTAGAAGATTCTAGTCGTACGTCAATAAAGAATCATCATTCCTTTACAAATAGATTTCTAATTATGTAAAATAAACAGCTGCACTGGGTATTTAGTATAAAGAAATCCGTTACATTGTTCTGTTGATAAATGTAATATATGTATAACAGTAAAAATATTTTTAAATAAAAGAAAAGTGTTTAAGTCAAATTGTTCAAAGAACAGAGAAAAGAGTATTTTCGGGGGTAAAGTGATTTTTTAGCGTAAATGTTGACTGATACATTTTTTAGAGAGTAGTCCAACATAGTAAAAAAATGGTTTGTTTTTTTCTATGATGCACAATTCACATAGCGCGTTGAAAGGAAATAACCAACCAATGTTGGTACATATAAGGTGGTATTTTGAAAGACCAAAAACGGCCAAGCATCAAGATAAATATACAGCTGAGCCGGGAACGAAAATAAAGTTACGCACTAAACACATTTTAATTAAAATCAACAGTATTATTCAAATCAACAATGTAAATGAACAATATTCTAAATATGCTTACCCAGGTTGTGACCAGAGCAACAGTTTGTTCCACCCCTACAAGATTGCTCCGCCCCCATTCGCGGAACTTGCCCCATCGCTCCTTCCCGACCGGAAACATGAGATCCCGCCATCTTTTTCCTTCGCCGCCATCTTGCCGTTTCCATCCAGCGGGATTAGTTGATTCAGTTTTGTGCGGGGGAGCTAGACACATTTTTAATCTGAAATAAAATGCTTTATAATTCATCAGTTTTAAAGAAAATCAGAAAGATTTAAATTTTTTTTATAATTCAAACAAAACCCTACTTTGATATATTGATTTGCTGATTTCACTTAAAATCAGCGACGTATAAACTAAACCATTTAATTTTAAATTACATAATATATTAACTAATTACAATCACCAGCTTCTGATAAGCCAAAAAGACAATCTACAGTCATCGCTGTATATAAAAAGATACAATGGAGACGATATTCTATTTTAATTTAGATTTCTACTAACTATCTGAAAGGACTAACTACCATTGACTGATTAGCCAAAAGTACCATATATCAGCGACTATAATTTGCTGCAAAAATACTAATCATTAGCTACCGACTATATAGCTGAAAGGACTAACTACCATTGACTGATTAGCCAAAATTACCATTTATCAGCAACTATAATTTGCTGCATAAATACTAATCATTAGCTACCGACTAGCTGAAAGGACTAATACCATTGACTGATTAGCCGAAAATACCATATATCAGCGACTATTATTTGCTGAAGATATTAATCATCAGCTACCGACTAGCTGAAAAGACTAATACCATTGACTGATTAGCCGAAACTACCATATATCAGCGACTATAATTTGTTGAAAATACTAATCATTAGCTACCGACTAGCTGAAAGAACTAACTTTTAGTGACTAGCTATATAAAAAGGACTAAATGAGAAAGACTATATGAAAAGACTAAGCACAAACTATAAACGACTAACTATATATGAAGGGACTACGTATTAACGACAAACTAGCTGAGATGACTAACTATAAGCGACTGATTATACTTGAAGTACCACCATACAGGTAAAATATCGTTTTAGTTTACTAACAGCTGTGAGTAATAAGAACAACTAATTCTAATTAATTACTCACAAATGAGGTAAAGGATATATGATCAGAGCTGAAAACTCTTGTATTTGATACCGTTTATCGAGATTTCATAATCTCTAGATCCACCCGTTGACAGTTTTGATTTTAAGCTTATTCTTCTCTTTTGGATATCCCTGCTGGATTGCCACTCATTGATTGCGCGTGTCAAAATTTTGAGTTTCTCGGCTTATGGTTGGATGTTCGAATTCTATTAATCAACACTCTGATTTGTTGAATTTTATACACTTTCCAGGATAGAAACTAAAGATTAAATTAATCTTGAGATTATTGAAAAGAGGAGATCAAGTTTTAATCTCGATATCTACAATTGTAAAGTTTTCAGCTCTGCAGTGATTCTAACAGAGCCCAGCCCGTGTAAACATGTTAGTGCTTAGTTGTTAACTCTTTGTCAAGTCTAGGGGCATTTACAGGAATTTGTCCAGAGGGAGGCTTAACAATTTTTTCTTTTCGGCTGGAAGCCTACACCCCCCCCCCCCTCCCCGAAAGCATAGATTTCAATAATCCCCCTGTATACACCTCTGGTCATAACTTAAAATTTCAAAATAACGTCATAAAAGTATGAATTAGACCAGAATAAAAAAGAAAAAATTAACCGTTCTGAATATGTAATGTTGATGTTTTTTTTTTTTAAAGCTCTAAAATTTTGGTCCAATTTTGAACAGTATTTTTTTATTAATTTTCAACAATGCATGAAAAACGTGTTCATGGAGAAGCTTATTAGTTTTTTAGTTCCAATGGCAATAGGCAAAATCACAATGCTTTTTACCAGTTTCTTATATTCTACAGAAAACAAAGTCCAATATGCGATAGATATGCTAACCTAAACATTTTCATATATATTATTTTTATCTTTTACAAACATACAAATAAATGGCAAGTTTACCTTAAGATACATTATTTTAGAACTAGTCAACAAAGTACAAATTCATGCAGAGGCGTAGATGGGAATTTAGTCTTTACGAGGAAAAGTAAACAGAAAATTAATTAAGACATTTAAGGATTGTATCTGTAAGCGAAAAAAAAACAAAAAACCTTGAAAATACGACACATTTTTTAAATTCTTTTATTTTAAACTATTTACGAGCTTTCTCATAACAGAACTTAAAAATGCATAGCATTTAAATGAATGAAGTTAAAATTACAATTTTAGGAAAAATCAGCTGTTAATGAGTAGAAATTATAACAATTCAAAAATGTATTTTTTGATTTATTAATTTTCAAAAAGAATATAAGAATATGTAATAAGAAGACATTCAACAGATATTCATACCAGATATATATCATATATACATACCAGAAATACCAGAATATATAAATATTTATACCAGACATGGTTTAGATATATACTTGCCATGAACCAGACAAATACCAGACATGGACCAGATGTATATCAGACATGGACATAACATATATTCCAGACTTGGTTCAAATGTATATTAGACAAATACCAGACATGGACAGTATATAGTATGCATGCTTGGGAACCCAGCGCTGCCAAGGTTACTAAAAGTTTCTCCCGCCGTTTACCCACACTTTAAAGATCGGACGAACAAACAGACAAACAGAGATTACAACTTTATATATAAGATACCAGAAACAGATCAGATATGTATATTGAATAAATATATTAGAAGTATTCAGGGACTTTGACAGCAGGTTTCATATCCTAACTCCGTGTTCCTGAAAGAATAGAGAAACTGATCCTATACCGGAGAGCAGAACTCCTGACTCCGCGGAGAGCGGAGCAGAGTGGGAGGGATGTAACCCGACTTACTCTCATTTATACCCTCATAGGGGCGTATCAGAAAATATAATTCCTGGAGGTAAAACCGTAAAACCGGCATTTTTTTATTAGATTCATTTTATTTCCAGTGTTAAGATTAATTTGTAATTTATTAAGGTCATTAATTCTTAAAAAAATGATTAATTTACATATTGACTGGGAAGTGTGGAGTGTGACGAGTTTTGTCTAAGTTTACAAATTCAGCTGAATAAATAATTAACAAGCTGATCGTCTCATAGGTGTACTTTCGCCCTTTCAGCCCTCGGCCCGAGGGAGATACAGAAAACAAAACTCCCGGGACAAGGAAACTAAACACTATGCCTTAAACTATAATTTTCTAATCCTGATATCATTGCAACCTGATGTCGTACACCGTTAATATTTCAAAATATTTATTCTGCTTATAAGGTTGAAATGTTAACGGTTCGCGTATTTTTTTTTATTACTGGATGGATTTTCAAAAATCTTAAAGGTTGAATAAGGCAGATAAAATTTTTAATTTTGACCAGAGCCGTAAACATTGCCTGGGGTCATGTAAGTTGTCACAAAAATTTGGGCCCCACCGGTTTAGCTTTTTTGACGTTTATTGGATACAAACAAACTAGCCTATAGCTAGCTAGACAAGCAAGTATATAGATATGAATATATAGATAATGTTGATGTGAAAGTCTGTTAAAGCTATTTAAAATCCAGTGACCTAATTTTTTTGGATATTCAAATATTTTAACCAAAGAAGACATTTTTATAGTTATATGTCTCCCAATTTGTGTGCATAACATGAATAACATTGCTTTGTTGCTATATCAATTCTATCAAAATAGATATATGATTATTAGTCACTGAAACACATCACGGGGAAATCAACTGATAAAACTTNGGGGTCATTTTTAATTGTTGAAAATATTCTTCCTACATCTTGAGGACAAAATTCCTTACTAAAGTATCTTTGATTTTGGCCAGTGTGATTTTAATCCAAATATATTGAATAAGATAGATTTAAAAATTTCCATCGCAAAACATGGAACTTTCTAGTCTTGACTCTTTTTATCAGTAATGATGCTAAGTTTACATCGATATTATAAAAGGGACTGAACACTAAATTTAATTGCGTTTCTTTGATTTTGAAATATTGATATTGTTTAAATCTATTGTAGTCTGTAATATGAATTCATTAAAAAAAAGTTTTAGCTTTGTTTAGATTTTTTTCAGAACCAATTTTACACTTTAAGTTTAAAGAGGCTTAATGTTTTACAAGGGCGAGATTTCACAATAACCCCTCAGATCCCGGCTCTCTTTTTTTACAGTGAGAGCCATGGAAGGAATGTCGCCTTTGTTCTTTCTTCTAGTGCAAAAAAACCGCTAAGGAACAAGCGTAATTTGTAATATGCATCTGACATATTTCTAAAAATATTTAAGGCACTTATATTCAGAAATAGATAGAAAATCTGTAGTGACATGTCACAATTAAAAGAAAAAATAGGACTACGAGAAATCCACTGTACTAGTTACGAAACACAGGAATTTTATAAGCTTTAACTTTGGTTCACTCTAGTATGGCAGGTCCATTAGCGCCTAATCCAATCAGGTTTCAGTCATGTGTTTGGTGTCTATTCTGAATCAATAGAAATAGTCTGGCGGTAACATCTATCTTTCTATCTATCTTATTATTCAATCAGAGTTATGGATCCTTCAATTGGCGCTATCAGTAAATGGAAATATTTACTTCTATTGAAATATAGTGGGTTTAGCTGTTAGCATCATGAGGCCAACAATGAAACAAAAAACTTATTTGGCCATTTTTTTTTATAGACAAAGAAAAAATCAAAACATGGTTAATGCGTTATTTATTTTTTGTATAAATTTTAATAAATATCACAGATCGAGAAAGGATTTGGAACAAAATCAAATATTTAACCTCAATATCTTTAGAACTCGATGTTGTAAACCTTTGATATTTTAAACTCAGATTATTTGATTTAACAGAACTCTTAGTTTGAAATATCTAAGGTCTAAAACATTTGGTTCCAAAGATATAGTGCTTAGAAAATCAGAATTTGTGGCAAATACTCAATTCCTTTCTTGTAAGGACCATTTGAATTCACGAAAAGAATGGAGAAGTAAAATCTAATTTTTCATTCTTAACAATTTTTAGAATAAATCTGTCGGATTAGAAGTACACAAATTGCATAATTTAGTCACGTGAAATTATTATATAAATATCAGCTTATTTACCTAGTTTTATATATGGCTCGTTCCATGCATTCGCTTATCTATTTTTTATATAAAACTTTTTTCAAATCTTTTATTTAAGGGAGTGTTGCAAAAACAGAAATAGGGTATAGACTGACCCCGAATTGAATTTGGATTTGATCACTTTTAATTTTACTTATCTGTTGCGTCTATAAGGAGAAAATGGTTAAAACACGACTCAAAAAAGTGCGTATGAACCCATACAATTTGACGGAGTTACATTTAATTCATTTCGGGTTCAGGATCTATACCCTCTTTTTTTTCGCGAACACTTTCTTTCAGGTGCATGTCCGGGAGGCAGTGAGCATGTCCGGGAGGCCAACATTCATAGTTAAATTATGTTTAATTTGTATTATATTACTAAAATGTATTTATATTAGCTTGGGAACCCACCTCTACCTGGATACTAAACTTTCCCTATAATATTCTACCCACTAAATATTTTATAACCAAGCTATAACCGAGTTCCTAACCAAAATATGAGGCAAATCAGCCAAGGGGTTCATGAGTTATGATCCGGCGTACAAACAAATAGACATAAAATACCGATCACTACTTTATATGTATCTATGATATTACATGAAAATATTCATTTCTTTCTTTTGATATGAAAAAAACAAATCTTACTATTTTCAGGACCTGTGGAAAACTTAGTTCTCAAAAATATGTTATAACTTTTGTCAAAACTTTAGGTCACTGAATCAATGAGAAGCGTGATTGCACTGAGCTTAACAACTCAACCCCAAAACTATGACAACTAAACATAGAATTTTCCAGAAATCCGTGGAAATTTTTATCCATTAAATAGAATTATTAATTTTCGCGGCTTTTATTTTTCACACTAGATTTTAACTTCACTCGATGTATACATTCACTCTCTGTGTATTTAAAAATTACATAATTTTGTTTACAAACAATGCACAGTTAACTCAGGAATCAGCTGACTACATCCGAGTGAGCAGTGTGTGTGTGTGGGGCGGCAGAACATAAGGAAAGCTTTAGCAGCCTCCAAATAACCCTTAGCCTCGCAATGGTTACAGAGGCCGGTTAAATATCAATGGGATGGGCTGAACGGGGGGAGGGGGGAGGGCAGTGTATGAAATTTTCTTTGTCCGATTGTTTGAAAATATAAATCTTAAATATTCCTTCATGTAATTTCATGAAGAAAAGGAATTGCCCGGAAAATGTTCTTCTTTTAACAACTTTATTCAATTTCAAAATAGATCAACAATAGTATATCTTATTACATCTTCGTACCTATTGCTGTTATGAGCAGGTTTTCGCAGAGCTCTCCATTGATTAAGATTAAATCAAAAACTTTATCGAATAATTTTGCAAGCGTAGTTGCAGACTTTTCATCTTTAAATTAAAATTGCGAACATGAACAAAACTGCAATATGTTAGTAAGAATTTTTTTTCAAACGTAGTTGCAATTGAATAACTTTTCATCTATATGAATATAAGAAAAATCAAAGCAACAAAAAAAGAGATATAAAGACCAGAAAATCGGAAATCCGGAAAAAGACTTTTCATCTCATATTTTAAAAAATCCAAAAAACCAAAAAGAACCAAAAGGAGACTTTTCGTCCTGCAGGAATCAGATGCCCGGAAAAAAATGTGCTAAATGATGATTGCAAATTAAAATAAAGATATTAAAAACCGGTTCAAGTGAATTATCAAGGAATGTAAACCAAAATAAATCGATTTTATGCGCAACCAAATTGCAGGAGGAGGGGCGGGGGGGCGCTGACATCAATAACATTTCTAAAAAAAAAGATAATAATAAGAAATATGATAAAAATATATAGTCTGAAAACAGATTTTATAAAGAATATTGATTTCAATTGTATAAATCGAAATTATTTTTCTTGCTAAATCTTGATTCTATCCCCTTTCTCTTGTTTATTATTATAACATATCTTTTTATGCGCGCATTTATCGCTAAAAACTGGACTTTTTATTCAAAACAACCAGCTATGGTCTACAGATTAGGTCCTGGCTAAATTAAACCTGTTATTTTTTATTATTAAATTATTTAGCCAAATAAATACATTTATCTATCTATCCTATAATAAGTTAAATGTATAATAATAAAAATAGAAAAAATATAATAATTGAAATAAGAAAATTTTGAAAATTGTATGATCTGAGCTGAAAACTTTAGAATGGGATATCCTTAATCTCGATCAGTTAATTAATCTAAGCTGAGCTGAAAACTTTTGAATGGTGGATATCGGGATTAATGCTTAATCCACTCTTTTTCTTAATCTCGAGATTAAATATTGCTTGTTCTTCTCTCATTTTTAATCTCCAGATTAATTATCCGATCAGGATTCCATTCTAAAGTTTTCAGCTCAGAAAACTTTAGAATGGTGGATTTCAGGATTAATGCTTAATCCACTCTTTTTCTTAATCTCGGAATTAAATATTGCTTATACTCCTCATGACTTTAATCTTCAGATTAATTATCCGACGGGATATCTGGATATTTCATTCTAAAGTTTTCAGCTCTGAGCTGGGAACTTTTGATTTCTGGATATCGGGATTAATGCTTTATCCACTCTTTTTCTTTATCTCGAGATTAAATAATGCTTGTTCTCCTCTTGTTATTAATCTCCAGATTAATTAACTGATCGGGATTAAGGATATCACATTCTAAAGTTTTCAGCTCTGGAGATTTATAACAAGAGGAGAACAAGCATAATTTAATCTGGAGATTAAGTAAGAGAGTGGATCAAGATTAATCCCAATATCCACCATTCAAAAGTTCCCAGCTCCGTGTTGATCTGATTAAAGAGGCAGTATGTAATTGAGTATGCCAAATAATGCCAAATTTAATGCCAAATTTAATGCCAAAATTAATGTAAAAGTGTTGACAGATAACAGCGACACGCTAGATGAATTTGGATTAAAGGCCCGTCGGAACTCCGGGGAGGGAAATAGATTCAGTCCGGATAATCCCTTTCCGTTCGGCCGCAAATACACACAACAGAGTAACCCAGTCTCAAGAAAATCGATAACAAAAGCTTTATTTCCTAAAAATAACATAAATTATAAATCATGGTTACTTGTACTTGTACTTGTATGTTATAATAAATATTAATAATAGAAAAAATCTTATGATCTATTTTGGTATGGTACAGGGAAACTTATTGTTGATCAGTATTGAAATACGTTTTTAAACTTCTGAAAAAAATTACAGTTGAATATTTAACGAAATTCACTAATTCTTCATATGAAAATATTCTTGCTTAACTTTAATGATTTCACAATAACGAAAATGTTTTAAAGCTCCGTGTGCGGAGAACAAATGGAATGCGGGCTGACATTATTTGGTTTGGTTTGTCTCCGAGAGGAGATTTTAAGTTGAAGACGACATTTCTCAGAGGTTTTAAGATTAATGGTTAACACTGGCCCCAGGCGGGGTTTGAGGATGTTTGGATATCATACGAAAATTAAAGCATAACCATTAACAATATAAGAAACATGTAGTTTGATTGATTGATAGATATTAGATTGACCGATTGAAATAAACAGATACATTAATTAATACTGAGTTTAACAGGTGGATAATTAGATACATTAATTAATACTGAGTTTAACAGGTGGATAATTGATGAGATTAGAACAATGTAGTAAATGACTTCATGTTGTACATGCTTTTTTTCCTTCTTTTGTAATTTCATTGCCAGGATAATATTTTGTAAAATATAAGAATTAACCGCAAACTGAAAATGAACTAGAATGAAGAGTTAAACTGCAAGGATTAATTAGAACAGAAATGTCATTGATGAACCAATAAATGAACTTAAGAGATTATATCAAAATTAATACTCTTCAATTTAAATGTTTTGTATTCAATATCTTTCTTTCGTAAAATAATTTGTTTTATTTAGAAGAAAAGAGAAGGAAATTAAACCGTTTAAATAGTTAATTCCTGTGGTGAAGCTTGGAGTGATTCTATTGATTGATTGCATTGAGCTCTGGGAGGAATTCGTCCTGTGCAGGTTCCAGCCTGGAGCTCGGGGCTAGATTCCTTGCTTCTGTGGAGTCCGAGGTTAAGGTGGGCACGATTTCCTGAGGACACTGAGCTTCTAGGTTCATGAATGGGTACAGTTGGTTGAGGTGTCTGTCCACTACGATTTTCCGTCCACCTACTTCACGACAATAGCTGATGGTGGCACCGTAGACGTCTCCGTTCCTTCTACAGAGGAGCTGCTCTACTCTGGCAGCTGAGATTGGGTTCTTGTATATGGGTTCATTCTTGAACAGGACTATATCTCCAACCTGAGGGAGGTTGCCCTGGTCCTTCCAGGCGACGGTGAATTTGTGTCTGGTATATTCCTGTTCCCATAATGAGTGGAACAGGTTGAGGACGACATTCCACCTGGAGATCTGTTGGTTGATGGATGCTGTAGGTTTGACCTTGTCTCCGAAAGACTCTCGAAACCCTTGGAGGACGCGGTTGGGAGTGAGGGTGATGCCAAGCGGAGCTCCGAGAATCAGTAGTCTGTTGTTAAGTTTTTCAATGACTCCATGCGTCCAAGTAAGCAGTTCCTCGTCGTCCATGATCAACTGGTGTGGTCCTGTGAGGGATTTGCTGACAGTGTTCTTGATGGAACCAATTATTCTTTCAACAGCTCCGATCCCGGCGTGGTGTTTGGGTAGAGTGACTCTGAATTCAATGGAGGTGAATTTCAAATTGAGGTTGGAGATGACCTTCATCTCAGTGTTGACCAGGTCTTTGCCAGCCTTGACAATGTTCAATCCAGCATCAATCCAGATGATGCGAGGGGTGCCTCTCAGGGCGAAGGTTCTATTAAAACCTCTGGTGATACTCTGGGCGCTGTAGTTGCGCAGGATTTCTAGGTGCACCCCGCGACTGGAAAGACAGAGTTACCAGGATCCACCTCTTAGTCTTGGTGCCGTCTTTGTGTACAAGGACGGGTCCGAATATGTCAGCTTGGCAGTAGGAGAAAGGAGGTTGGATGGATTTGAGGACATCAGGGACATCAGCTTCAAATGCTGCGAATGGAATCTTGTTCAGCTTGATACATCCAGGGCAAGATTTCTTCAGAGCAGTGATCATTTTACGAACTCCACGGATGAAGAAACTGGTCTGAATGTGAGTAAGTACCTGAAGGACATCCCTACCGTGACCCAGATCAGCGTGAGCATCGTTCAGGATGCATTTGGCAAGAATAGTCTTCTTGCAGATAAGAGGAACCCCGATCCTGGAACGGAAACTTCGGTCTGACACGTAATATACTCCGTCCACCAGCTGGATGACAAGGTGTTTCAACTTGTTGTTGGCAATGATGAGCACTGACTCCGTGGTAAAACACTTGAGGATTGAGGACCTGATGGAAGACTTAATAGAACTCCAGGTAGCAGTAGGTTCTTCTTGGATAATTCTGTTCTGGTTGGGGTCATTTCTCCAGGTTCTGCAAACCTTGTGGAGGAGGTTTAGAGCCCGGAGAACTGTGGAGAGGCTTTGTTTGTGATGTAGAAGACTCAGAATATTTTCCTGGTAGGGATTATCTGGGGATAATTTTGCCAGGTTGACCGACCTAGTAGGAACATCACCTGAGGTGATGGAAGAACAATGGACGGTGGGCCAAGAAGATTTGTCCTGAGGTAAGAAACTACCATTCAACAAGAATTTTGAGTTGACCTGCGCGCAGCTGGTTCCAGATCGGGTGAGGAGGTCAGCTGGGTTGAGGTTTCCAGGACACCAGAACCAGTTATTGGGTGGAGACACGGCTAGTATTTCCATCAGTCTGACTCCATAAAACACAGGGTTCGCAGCTGGATCATTTTTTGCGATTATCTCAAAACGATCTCTGAGTCACCAATGAATGTAGGGGGGAGAGGGAGACATTGAACAACTCCTGCTTGATCTTTTGCTCCATCCTGGAGGCGAGTAAGGCTCCTGCCATTTCAGATTGTGGGGTGGAGAACGCAGATTTTCCTAATATCTTTGAAGAGCTGGAGATGAGGTTGAACTGATCGCCGGAGTGAGCATATATACAAGCTCCATAACCTTGCAGGGAGCCGTCAAAAAAAATGAACAGTTGAGCCTGGTATTTGAATATGACCTGTCTGGTGAAAAATATTTCCCTAGTTTGTAAGATCTCTCTCACCGCATCTCTGAACTTAGCAGTGCGTTCTTTGGATAGGACAGAGTTGATGGAACACTGAGGATCACGGCAGATCTCACTAAACAGTGCTCGGACAGAGAACATGAGTGGGGCAGCTAAGCCTGTAGGATCGTAGAATTGACAAGCAACAGATAGGACGTTTTTCTTGGTAACAGGAACGGATTCGTCTTGTAAGAAATCCAAGTCTAAATCTGCACCAGACGGGATTCCAAGGGTCTTCTTATGGAGGTTGAGGCGGAATTTCAGACTGTATAAGTCTTTGAGTCTATCCCACGTCATACCTAGATACTTGCTGGTTCCATTCTCACCAGATTTCTCCCAGGATTTAATAAAGAATCCCCCTCTATTGAGGATTCTTTCTATTTCTTGTTGCAGTGTAGAGAGGTTGCTTGGAGAGACGGCTCCGACGCCCCCGTCGTCAATATATGTGTCCTCCAAGACAGCTTGTAGGATTGCAGGTCGGAGGTGGGGGGGGGGAGTCCTCGATGAATGTCTTGACAGTTGCAACTTCCACACAAGTTGCATAATCACCGAACGCACTGTCGCCGAAAGGGATTGCCTGATCTTGGAAATATCTCCAGGTAGGGTTAGGAGTAGGAGTACTGGAAAAGAAACCTGATGGAACACACACTATCCTGAGGAAGGAGTCCTTGGTGGAAGCGAGCACGGACCTGAAGAACTTCTGAATGTTGTAAACTGCAAAGTGAGGGTGACATCTGGAGCGCAGCAAAATCCCTCTCATGTTGGGAATATTTCCTGGGGCCGGCTGGGAGACGTCGTTGAGGCTGAGACCGGTCTCAGTTCGCATGGAGCTGTCTGTGGTCATTCGAACCTTGGTAGATGAGCTGGTGGAAGACACAACAAAATTGTAGGCTACGAAGTGGAGTTGGTGCTGATCCCTGTGATACTCAGGGTTAATCTCGATATAATTCCCATTATTGATTTGTTGATTGATGTACTTGTCCATTTCTGCCGCAATTTCAGGTTTGTCGGCGATTCTGGCATGTAGGGCGTGGATTCTCTTTGTCGCACCAAAATAATTCTCACCGAGACTAGGGAGGTTAGATTTGTAGAGGCAATTAACCCGAACTCTGCCCTTGACGGGGTCCACTACAGTGTTGTCCATGATGGCCTGGATGTTCTTCTCCTTGGTGATCTTGAGGAGCTGTTCTCGATTGGAAGGAGTTGTGAAATCTTCTGCAGAGGTGAGGAGGAGGAGTTGATCTTGTACATCCTGCATGGACAGAGCGTTGATGATGACGGTGTTGACGGTGTTGGCGAGGGGGGCCTCGGACCAGGTGATGGAGTTGGAAGGGACGGCTCCGTAGACCATGCAGTTGTTGGTGAGAGTACTACGATAGAGGGCCATACCCAGAGGATCTCGTTCAATCTCCGTGGGGAAGGAGAGAAGATTGTCCCCCCCTAGCAGGATGGATACTTGACCGTCATGGTTTGACGTTGATGACTTCGTGAAAGCTCTCCACTTGGCCGGGACGGTGAAAGAGAAGGCGGATCCATTGTTCAGGTTCTCCTCTATAGTGGACAACTTCAGAGTTTTGCCTTGGATTTTCAGTTTAACGGTGGTGGTGAGTACAACTTTGCCTTCGCCAGCATAGGTCATTATCTTTACTTGAGATGAACTCCCAAGGGAGTACATTGTTTGAGGGATGGTTGAGAGGGCTGACTTGGAGATGAGGCTAAGTTGACAACCTGTGTCATATTGGATTCCTATGGGAGTGTTGCCTAGGAGTATGGGCTCCACCAGGGGAACTGACTTGTCGGTGCTGACCTTGGAGACGGAGATGAATGGAGCCTGGTTGTTGTGCATGCAGGCACGCCTATGCACAGGAATCCCCTTCTCCGAACAACCCTTGGGACACGCCTTTGGGGTGCCGTTGTAGAAGGTGGTCTTGCACTTGTAGCTCTTCCCATGGGCTTGGACACATGTGAAACAGAGATGATTATCAGCAATCAATTTGAGGATCTCAGGAGAACTCAGCTTGCCGGCGCCGCAGGATTTGGAGAGAGAGAAATGGTTGTCCTCAAATCCCATGACCGTACACAAGGCGCAGGGCTTTGGAGGGCTAATTTGCTGGAGGTTAGGAGGACGCGGAGGCTGAGGGTTGGGTTTGGAGGCTGCTTGTCTAACTACATTGATCCCTACATTCGATGGGGAGAGCTCGAGGTCGTAGAGAAAAGGGGTGGACCAATAATTCTTCTCTAATTCTTCCACGAACTGTGCGAGGAACTCAAAGGTCGCTGGAGATCGGACATTGGCTGGACATTGTTTACGGAACTTGGAGAACTGGTCGTTGAAGGATGGTCTCACCTCTGACGGCAGGCTCTTCATGAAGCTGGGTGAGGGCGACATTGTTAAGATCTTCCTTGTCATGAAAATTTTGCATAATCTCCAGGTTGGCTTGCAGGGTCTTGATTTTGGGGGAGAGGTCTTCTGCGACCTCCTGGACAGATTCATAACGAGGGAGGAGGTTGAATGTTTGATTGACGTCCCTCCCGAAAATGTCAATGCTTCCAAACTCTTCTATCAGCTTGACCTTGAGGGTGGGCCAGTCAATGATGTTGTTGAAAGGTCCTCGTTTAGCAAGAGGGATGGCTTGTTGGGTGAGAGCCACTTTAACATTATCTTCAGCTTGGGTCAGGTTGAACCCGTTCAGGATGGTCGACAACCAGGGGTAGAACTCTGCAGACTTGCCACTCCAGGCAGGTGTATCCAGTTTGGGAGGTTTGAAACTGGGGCGAGGTTGTTGGTTGTGCTGGGGAGAAGGGGGGGGGGGGTCGGGTGTGCTGGAGGACAAGGAGGCGTGGGAGGCTAGGATATCCGAGGCGGTTTTCCAGGCAGCCTCAAATGCGGAGCAGTCATATGTGCAGAAATCATCGTTCGACTCAATCGATTTCTGGATCAGTTTGATGGTGCTTTTCAATAGTTCTATGTTGTTTTGTTGGATTAGGGTGTGAAGCCTGCGGGTGTACTTAGAGATGAGGTGATCTGGAGGGGGTTGAGTGAAGTCGGAGGGGGGTGGGGGGTTAGAGTTGGATTCGTCAATGTCCAATTCCCCGTCTAGGTTACGGACATGGTTGGTGGGCGTAGGGCATATCATGCATCCTTGTGTTCTGCAGGGATTGTTTCTTGTACATCTTTGATCTTCCTGATGAGGGGTTTCAAAAGGAAGGTCATGAGGATCCTCATGGAGAGGAGTAGTTGGATTCATCTCGAGGTTGTCTTGTATATCCGCCAGGGAGATTAGATCGAAATGTTGACAGATAACAGTGACACGCTAGATGAATTTGGATTAAAGGCCCGTCGGAACTCCGGGGAGGGAAATAGATTCTGTCCGGATAATCCCTTTCCGTTCAGCCGCAAATACACACAACAGAGTAACCCAGTCTCAAGAAAATCGATAACAAAAGCTTTATTTCCTAAAAATAACATAAATTATAAATCATGGTTACTTGTACTTGTACTTGTATGTTATAATAAATATTAATAATAGAAAAAATCTTATGATCTATTTTGGTATGGTACAGGGAAACTTATTGTTGATCAGTATTGAAATACGTTTTTAAACTTCTGAAAAAAATTATAGTTGAATATTTAACGAAATTCACTAATTCTTCATATGAAAATATTCTTGCTTAACTTTAATGATTTCACAATAACGAAAATGTTTTAAAGCTCCGTGTGCGGAGAACAAAGGGAATGCGGGCTGACATTATTTGGTTTGGTTTGTCTCCAAGAGGAGATTTTAAGTTGAAGACGACATTTCTCAGAGGTTTTAAGATTAATGGTTAACAAAAAGATATATGCCAAAATTAATGTAAAAGATATATGAAATCTTGTAAAAGATAAAATAAAAATTAGATGGGTACAACTGTAATTAAAGTGATGTAAGAAAAATTATTTTGAAAGAAAATAACGGTACAGTGTACAGGAGTCTCTAAAATCTCATCCATCTTGGTTTATCCTATGGAACCATGGCTGTCCTGTACAATCTCATCCATCTTATTTAATCCTGTGGAACCATGGCTGTCCTGTACAATCTCATCCATCTTGGTTTATCCTATGGAACCATGGCTGTCCTGTACAATCTCATCCATCTTGGTTAATCCTGTGGAACTATGGCTGTCCTGTACAATCTCATCCATCTTGGTTTATCCTTTGGAACCAGGGCTGTCCTGTACAATCTCATCCATCTTGGTTAATCCTATGGAACCATGGCTGTCCTGTAAAATCTCATCCATCTTGGTTAATCCTGTGGAACCATGGCTGTCCTGTACAATCTCATCCATCTTGGTTTATCCTTTGGAACCAGGGCTGTCCTGTACAATCTCATCCATCTTAGTTAATCCTTTGGAACCATGGCTGTCCTGTATAATCTAATCCATCTTAGTTAATCCTATAGAACCATGGCTGTCCTGTATAATCTCATCCATCTTGGTTAATCCTGTGGAACCATGGCTGTCCTGTACAATCTCATCCATCTTGGTTAATCCTGTGGAACCAGGACTGTCCTGTAAAATCAAAAACCTTCTTTTTAAAAGTTTTGAAAAAATCTCTATTCTTGAATCTAATAATTAAATAATAGATTTTTCCGAT